TGCTGAGCGTCTTCCTCACCCTCCACTTTGCCAAGGACGACATCTTCTAGGGACTGGTCCTCATTCTTTTAGCCGTCACGGGACTGTCATTATTCTCCGGCAACACCGTATTTCAAGAGCATCAGATGTTGTGTTGTCTTCCTGTGTCAATCAGGGTAGACCAGAGAAGCAAACTCCAGGGAGACTCACATGTGCGTGAGAGAGAGCGTTTTATCAGAGAGCAATTGTTACCTTCTACACGTCCCATCACATGCCCACTGCACCTCTTGCCTCAATGCCTCTCCATTGGCTGCAGAAGAGAAAACAGGAAACAGGTGCCCCTCTCAGTTTGTGCATCATTGCTTTTGCAACGTTGGCACTCTTTACAGCCCACCATGTTTCATTCTGTTTCCCGTTAAAAGTTTCCTAGGCAAAAAGAAGGGTGCACAAGGAGACCTGTCCTGAAGGTTTTTCTCTCCTCTCCACCACTGGCCTGTCTCCTGGATCGGTAACAGAAAAACCAATAGGCCTATCACCCACCCTTTCCATCAGGGAAGGAGACGAAGGAGGCGGGAATGTGGGTAGAAATAAATGCAGCTGGCGGTGGCGGGAAGGTCTTGTACATGCTTTTTGTTTTAACTGTGAGTTGAGTGGAAATCAACAGAGCAAATCAATTTTCCATCCAGCACTTCATCCACACACAGTCTGCTTCGTGATGTGCATCGAAACCCCCACCGTGCGGCAGGACTCTTCCCATTTCCTCCCTGTAGTCCCTGCCTTCATCCCTCCTCTTGTCCCCACCCTTCCTGTATTCTGAGGTTTCTCTTTGGGCCAATGTTGCTCTCTGAGTTCATTGTCGTAAGAAGCAGGCACCCCCCGTGGGTGTTATCATCCCCTTTACAGCCCCAGCTCTCATTGGCGAAAACATGAGGGGGGGCATAGGGCCCCCCCCACCCCCCCGCTCAGTGGCCCCCCCGCTCAGTTTCAGGTCTGAACGGTATTGATGCAGTGATTACGGTCTCAATAGTTCCACCAGTCTCTGACCAGCAAACTTGGTCTCCCTCTAGACTCTGGGATTTGTTCCACAGGTCTTTCCTCCTGTCCCATCCTAGACGTCCCCATGCAACCCCCTGAGAGCAGTTGGCAGTGGTAGCTGGGCACGCTCTAGTTCTGGTCTCAGGTGGATATTCAAGGGGTCTGTTAATCCTTTGGGTTCATTGTTTGCCTGCGTCTTGATTTCCTTTAAATGCTTTTTCTCTGATTAAGGGAAACAAATAGTTATATCTCAGAGGGCTGATTTGAAGCCTCCACTCACAACTTGAGTTAGTCTGGGTAGACTAGAGAAATAAAATTCATAAGCACTCATATTTTATAAGAGAGAGTTTCATAGAAAGGGTAAGTGTACATGAAGAAAGCATTCCAACCCAGTGCTGTCCTTAAGTCCAGTGTTAGCCCATATGTCCGACACCAATCCACAAAGTCCTCCTCCATCTCACAAAACACACGCAATGACGCCGACTACAGGAGGAAAGCTGGATCAGTGAATATGTAAGCATCTCAGTGCTGGCAGAGGTCTCCATACGGGTGCTCCAGCACCCAGGAATGCATCGAGGTAGGTCCATGTGTCTTCTCCTTGGAGGTGACTCACAGGAAGTGAGCCTTGCCAGTTGAAGCAGGGAACTAGCTAAGGCAGCCACACACTGGTCCTACCATCAGAGAACAAGAGACCAGACAGACGAGGCCCTGAGCCATTTATCTCTCTGCCCTTCAATTAATCCCACATGTGTTCATCAGGTTGGTACAAAAAACCTTAACTATCACACTACTCAACAAAATAGGATGTGGGACGTTGTCTTTGTTGACTCGTTAGGAAGGACATTTAACCTTGGGAAATTTGCTTTTCTCTAATGTCTGAGTTTAGGTTAGATAACGCAATTTGCTCCTATGAGTGTTAAACAGCAGGGAATGAATGTGAATTCAGATTCAGGGGCTTCAGCACCAGAAAACCCCATGTGAGCTCACAAGAGTATTTGGAACTGTGGTCAGGAGCCCCTGCCCCTCCAATCCTGCTCATGAGCTGAGGATCTGGGCGTCACTCCACCTCTCCAAGGCCCGCATTCTCCGTCAGCTCCATGGACATTGAAATGTGATGGACCTGAGGGGGCCCGGTGAGAAGGTCATGAGAAAAACCAGGCGTGCACTCAGTAGAGGGCCTGCGTTCTGAGAAATACGCAATGCCCGTTAGCAGTGGCGGTGCTGAAACTGGTGGTTACTGAGATAGTTAAAGTTTGTTGTGCCAACGTGGCTGATAAACACATGTGGGGTTAACTGAAGGGCGGAGAGATAAATGGCTCAGTGATCCTTGCCTTTCTAGTTCTTGGGCTTTTTGCTTTGTGATGATCAGACCAGGGTGCAGCTGCCTTAGCCAGTTCCCTGCTTCAGCTGACAAGGCTCACTTCCTGCAAGACATCCCCACGGAGAAGCCGCATGGACCTACCACAATGCAGCCCTGAGTGCTGGAGCACCCATGTGGAGACCCCTGCCAGCGCTGAGATGCTTACACACTCACTGACTCGGCTTTCCTCCTGCAGTCGGCATCATTGTGTCTTTTTTTCCCTCCCAGTTCAAGAACTCTTTATTTTCAAAAGCTACATATGAAATGCAAAATGAATATAACCAGAATATAGCAAAATCCAGTACATACCGTCAGCTCTTTTTGTGTGTGTGTCTTTTGTGAGATGGAGGAGGACTGTGGATTGGTGTCGGATATATGGGCTAATGTTGGACTTGTGGGCGTGGGCAGCACTGGGTTGGGATGTTTTCTTGATGTGCGTTTAACCTTTATATAAAATTCTCTTATACATGAGTTTCTATGGATTTGTTTCTCTAATGTACCCAGACTAACACAGTTATGTAGATGGTGATACTGATGATGATGTGGTCCAGAGAGCAGAAATGTGGCAGCCAGGTAGACCAGTTGCTATGGTGGCGACAAACTCGTAGTGACTCTATGTACCAGAGGCAGACCCGTGGAGCTCATCTCTTTAAGGGGAGACACACCCTTACCTAAACCTACACTCCGTACCCATATGCGATGTCCTCTGGTGGGGAGGGCCAGGCGCATTGCTCCATAAACAACCAGACTCACAGTCATCAAGTTGATTACGATTCACAGTGACCGTGGAGGACAGGGTACCACTGAACTTGCGGGTTCCTGAGACTGTAACTCTTTCAGGACATAGAAAGTCTTCTCTTTCTCCCATGGAGCAGCTAGTGGTTTCAAACTTCCGACTTCTAAGTTCACAGCCCAACATGTAACCACTGTGCCATTCCCCACCCCAAATGGATCGCATGTCAACCAAGATTTAATCTACAAAGACCAACCATCCATCCAATTGCTTTCAGGATGATCCTAATTCTTGTTGACCCCACTTGCCTGAGAGTAGAACTGGCCTCCACAGGGTTGTAAGTGGCTGGTTTTTTGGAAGTCGATTGCTCGTCCATTCCTCCAGGTGCCCCGTGGGTGGATTCAAACCATCAGCCTTCCCATGAATAGCCTGGCTTGCTAACCAGGGACTCGAGATGTCTGACAGGCTAGCTCCATCCTCAGCATCAGCATGTCCAATTCACCAGCCCAAGAGACCCTCAGCTGCCATGTATTGAGCATGGAACATGCCGGGGAGATGAGGTACAGTCATGCCAATGGCACTGTGGAAGACATAGGGCTCAGCCACCAGCGGGAGGTGGCGTGAACTCTCCCAGAGGGCCTGAGGAAGACAGACCTGGAGATTTGACTCTCTAGGACACCCGTGGGGTCACCATGAGTCACAGTGGACTCCGGTGGTCACCGACAACAAGACCAAGGAGCCATCAGCCCAAGCACGTGGAGACCTACCCTGTTACCTTTTACTCTCACAGGTTTAAGTTGGCTTCTCTGTAGTTTCTAGAGTGAGAGGTTTTCAGGGATTTCACTTTTTCATGCTAAAGCCACAAACGGACTGCCATCACGTCAACGCCGACTCATAGTGACCCTATAAGACAGGGTAGAACTGCCCCTGTGGGTTTCTAAGATGATCTGTCAATGAGAGTAGAAAGCCCCATCTTTCTCCCAAGGAGCACCAGGTGGTTTCGAACTGCTTACCTTGTGGTCTCAGCCCAACCTGTCACCATGAAGCCACTAGGTGGCTTCAAGCCACAGACCAGCAGACTGAAACAGCAGCCCTATTGCCGTCTGGTGGATTCCAACACAGCGACCTGCAGGACACAGTACACCTGCCCCAAAGGGTTTCCAAATCTGTGGTCTTTACAGGGGATGAACCCTGGAGGTGCCGTGGGTTTGGCTGCTAACAGAAAGGGCAGCAGTTTGAACCCCCCAGCAGCTCCTCGGGAGAAAGATGAGGCTCTCTGCTTCCTTACAGATTTACAGCTTTGGGAGTCCTGTGGGGCATTTCTGGTCTGTCCTATGAGGTCACCTTGTGTGGGAACCAACTCAAGAGTAGAGGAGCATCCATGGGCAAAGACAGCCTCATCTGTCTCCCGTGGGGAGGCTGTTGGGTTTGAACCTCCAGACCTTTCTTTGTGGAGTCTAATGCGTACCCTGCAGAACCACAAAGGTTTCTTAGAAACTAGCCCAGCAAGCCCGTGCTTCTCTGTGTAACCAGGAACAGGGCACCCAGGCGGCAGGGGTGTGTGCAGGCCACGCCACATGGCCCGACTCAGAATCCGGGTGTACGTGGCCGCTGTTCCTCTGCTTCGCTGAAGCCTTGGGAAGGGGCGCGTGCAGCTCATGAGTGGGCGGTCAGTGTCCGACCGGAGCCCCCTCGGCAGCAGTCAGAACACCTGGAGCACATGCTTGGGGCAGGTGGGATGGGAGCCGATTGCACATGTGTGGTGACATTCCAGTCAATTTGAACGTAAGCCTGCAGTGGCCCACCAGCCCCAGGCATACAGCCCCTGTAGCCCACCGCCTTCCCCAGGACCGCCCGAGCGGGGCGTCTCAGACATGCCGTCCTCTCCCACAGGGCCAAGGTGAAGAAGGGCCTGAGCATCATCGGGGTACGGGCCAGCAACCCCTCGGTCTGGGACATCAGGGCGAGCTCGGACCACACTGGGAGGCACTCCCCGGCTGTCATCCTGTGCAGAAAGACGTCGACCACCCCGGAAGACAGGTGAGTGCTCCGGGCGGCGGAGGCAGGTGCCCTCAGGTGGCCTCCTGCTTCTCAGCTTGCCCTGTGTCTGCATTGACGAGCGGCCTACATGCTCAGCGGCTCTGGGCACGATGGGCGGCCTGGGTGTTACTCAGCCCGGTCCCCAGTGAGTGACCTTCTCAAACCCATGCTGTCCCACTCTGTACAGTTGTGTGCTGAAATCTCCCGTGCGGTGCGGCTGGAGCCCTGTGCCCGCCTGTGGTTAGGGCCTGCAGTGGGGGTTCAGTGAATTCCAGGGGCCGAGGACACTACAGGGAGGAATGCGGAGCGTCAGGCCGCCAGCCTGCTGGGGGTACAGGGGGCCTGGGGTGAAGAGGTGTTGTATCCCTGTGGCCCTCCACGTGAGACCGCATGGACTACCTGGTATGGCCACACGTCTGAGCCAACTTCAGGTTGCTTCTCCTCCGTGTGGTCCCCGGGCTACCAGGATGAGTTGAGAACCAGCCCCAGGCAGGCCTCGAGTTGTGTCTGCAGTGTAGAAGTGAAACACGCCACACATCTGTGTGTGGAAGACATGTTTGTTGTCTGACTCGCTGCGATCTGGACCGTGTGAGCCCAGCCTATGGTGGTGCCGCTGGCTGGGCTGATGGATACGAAGCATCTGGAGCCAGTTCTGAGGTTGGACTGCTAGTGGCGGGTTGGCGGTTCAAACCCCCCAGCCACTTCCTGGGAGGACAGTGAGGCAGTCCGCTCCCATAGAGGATCACAGCCGCAGAAACCCCATGGGGCACTCTGACCCCATCCTGCAGGGCGCCTGTGACTCAGAACCGATTTGAGGGACCCTGGGGACACAGGTGATGGTGACTCTGGGTACTGTGACGAGAGCTTGGGAGTTTCACACCAGCTACAGAGCTGGTGGCCAGGGGAGCGAGGCCACCTCTCGGGCTTCTGTCCTCAGGGCGGTGAGTGGTGGTCACTCTGCAGCCATCACGGGACCAAGGAGTCTCAGAGCATGCACACGACACAGGTGTGTGTGTGGCTGATGGCGGGGACTGTGACGTGAGCAGACTGAACCAGGACCCATCCGTCGTGGCTGTGGTTGGCTTCAGTGGTGTGAGCTCGGCTGCCTGGTGACCTGGGCACCCTGTGGGGGCCCTCTGCCCAGCCCTGCGCCCTCTGCCTGGTCCCTGTGGTTATTGGAGGTCATGGTGGCAGTTGAGGTGACGGTCACCTGGAGTGGGCTCCCCCCATGCCGCCGACCTTCTCCACCAGGCGCCATGCCCGTCCCTGGTGACTAGCCTTTGCTGACCACCTGCCCGAAGCCAGCGAGGCAGCATCTCCCCTTCCAGGCTCATCAAGGACATTCTGTGTGTAGAGTCCTTCTGAGTCTGATCCCGATCCCTTGTCTGCTGGCCGCCTGTGGTCAGACAGACAGGGTGGGCTCTGCCTGCCCAGCGGCTAGGGCCCTGATGGCATCTTTGTGAAGTGATTCTTCCTGATCCTGTCACTCCTGGGCTTATCACAGACATGGAGAGGAAAGTGGGGAAGCCCCCCTGGGCGGCCTGTCTCCTGGAGGATGCCCCCTGCTTCTTACAGGTCCTGTCATGTGGGGACTTCCAGAAGCTTGGCTGTGCGTGCCCTGTGGGGGTGGAGAGACTGGGGACCTCCTGAGGGTGCCCTGTGGGGGTGGAGAGACTGGGAACCACCTGAGGGGATGCAGATGGGCCAGAAGCACACGTTGGAGGCCTGACTCTCAGCCCTCGCTCCCCCATGTCAGTGTCTGCTCTGAGGGGACAGACATCCCTGGGGGGAACCAGCCATGCTATAGAACCCCATGTTGTGATGGGCCTCTGCAGCAGCCCCCGTCACACCTCACGTTGCCCTCCATATCCTGCTTGGAGCTGTATGATGGGGACAGCCAGGCACACACACAGACACATGTGGGTGTATTTGTATAGCTCATGTGTGCATGCGTGTAGTTCACATGTGCGTAGCATCTGTGATATAGTTAAAGGTTATTGTGCCAACCTGGCCGATAAACACATGTGGGGTTAATTGAAGGGCAGGGAGATAAATGGCTCGGGGAGCTTCGCCTTTCAAATTGTCGGGTCTCTTGCTTGTGATGGCCGGACCAGGCTGCAGCTGCCTTAGCCGGTTCCCTGCTTCGACTGGCAAGGCTCAATTCCTGCAAGACATCCCCAAGGAGAAGCTGCATGAACCTACCCTGATGCAGCCCTGGGTGCTGGAGCAGCTGTGTGGAGACCCCTGCCAGTGCTGAGATGCTTACACGTTCACTGATTTGGCTTTCCTCCTGCAGTCGGCATCATAGTGCGTGTTTTGTGAGATGGAGGAGGAATTTGTGGATTGGTATCCGGCATATGGGTTAATGGGTTAATGTTGGACTTGTGGGCTTGGGCAGCATCCCAACTTGGGGTTGGGATGTTTTCTTGATGTGCACTTACGCTTTATATAAAACTCTCTCATACATGAGTTTCTGTGGATTTGTTTCTCTAATGCACCCAGACTAACGCAATCTGTGTACCTGTAAGTGTGTACGGAGGAGGCCTGTGAGTACGTGTGTACAGCACATGCGTGTGCCTGTGATGTTGGAGTGTGAGCACCTGGGCAAGCACACCCTGTAGAGGGCATCTGTTTGTTCTGCATGCACCTGGGCGGTTCCGTGGGGATGCTTTTGGCTCTGTCGGACTCTGGGGACGGGGAGGGCTCTATAGTAGGATCCCCATGGGAACCAGGTCCAGCGGGTTCACGGCTCTGCCCCAGCCCTCCTGGAAGCCGTGCCTCCCTGGCACACAAGGGCTTTGCCACAGACAGTCGAGGACAGATTCTAGTACCACGCCAGCCTCTGCCACCACGTGAGTCACAGTGTAATCCATCTATACACCCATGGCCTGCTCTCTGACAGGGGGCTTCAGACATAGGTGTATTAGCATGTAAATCAATGGACAGACATATGGACTGCTTTCCAAGCATGCATGGAGTGTGTGTGTGTGTGTGTGTGTGTCCTACTCGGAAATATCGGTGGCTTTATGAGTAGATGTGCAGCCTCAAGCACCTCCTCTCGGGCCACCAGCGTTGGACCCAGCTTGACGGCCATGGGATGGGGTTTGGCGCACCGCTGCACGCTCTCTGCACTGAATAAAACACGGGGAAATATGGTGCGTGGCTGAAAGTGGTCTCTCGATAGGACCTTTGTGTTAGGTGTGCTCACCGTAGGTCTGGCTTGCGGTGTCAGCCGCTGAACAGGGGACCCCACGGTGCACAAAGCAGACCAGACCAGACCTCTGGGGCATTCCACGCTGTGGCCTTTCTCCCTGGGGGCCTCTCAGGGGTCTGAGCCTCGCAGGTTTGCAGCTTCACCTTTTACACCACCCCGGGACTCCGTTGGGGAACTGAAGGAAGACAGCCCTCCCTCCTTTATTAGTGGACTGAGGTGCAACCAACTTAAATGTCTCCCTCCAGTGCGTCTGCAGTGTGTATGTCCCCCAGCGAGCCTCTGTACAACACAACTAATCACCGCCCGGTCCTGCGCTGTCCTCACAATCCTTCTCACCTGGGTGCCCATTGTTGTGGTTACTGCGTCCATCTGTCCTGTCCAGGGTCTTCATCTTTTCCCCGGTTCCTCCAGTCACCAGGCGCGGTGTCCTTTTCCGGGAGCTGGTCTCTGGGGCTAGCGTCTCCAAAGTCCGTGAGGCAAAGTCTCACCTTCCTCGCTTCTGAGGGGCACCCTGGCTGTCCTCTCCCAGGACAGATCTGTCTGTTCCGTCTGTCTGGCAGTCTGTGAGGCTCTCCGTATTCTTCGCCAACACCACAATTCAAAGGCAGCGCCTCGGGTCTTCCTCATTCAGTGTCTACCTTCGGGGACACTGTGGCTTGGGTCAGACGCACCTCGGTCCTCAAAGTGACCTCCTGGCTCTTAAGCCTTTGTACCAGGTAGAGCGTGGTTTGATGGGTTAGCTTGGTAAATCTCCCCGCTCTGGATTTGTTGTTGTTGATTTCCACCTGGCTCTAGACACTCAGACGCTCCTCGTTCGGATGCAGCGGAGGCCATGTCTCCATCCACTGGAGAGTCACCGACTGGCAGATTTTGGGCGTGGGTAGGAAGTGGTGCTGATGAGGGTGAGTGGCTGCAGCAACTGTAGTTTGATGGACTGAGTAGCCACTTGCGTGTTAGAGAGAAGTGGACCTGGGGGGACCCACGCTCTTCACAAAGGAAGTGTGGCCTGCAGCAAACCTTATCAGTGTTAACACGTGAACGTTAGCATAGTCCTCGGATCTGTGTGGACGGAGCCACAAGGGCAGACCGCTGATGAGGCTCCACCCCTCACGGTCCACCGTGAGAACTCAGACGGTGGCTGCGAGCATTTTGTCAACCTGAAGAGGGATCTCACAGGAGGCCAAGCACTGCCCTCACCTTGTGGTCTCTGCCCAGGACCCAGAGATGGCCCCAGTGGGCACTCCCAGGACGTCAGGGACACAGAGGGCGCAGAGGAGTGTGACTGGGGGTTTGGGATTGCATTAAGGAGCTTATGTCAAGGGCTCAAGCGGCCTTACAGACGCTGCCTCCTTCTGCTGGGGGTGGGGGTGGACAGGGGAGAGTCACTGATGGACATGTCACTAGGAGACACACATGTCCTTCCCCGCAAAAGAGCATCAGCAAAAAGAAGACCCTCGACAAGATGGATGGCCACAGCGGCCACAGCCACATGCTTATTGTGGGTGTGGCTCCCTCTGTCGCACGTGGGGTGGATGGGAGCTAGGGCCGACCGGATGGCATCTAACACTGACAGCACAGCACGTGCACCCTGTTTCCCACATAGTATCTTCCACTTGAACACTTAGGCGGTTGGAACATCGCTGCCCTAGATAAAGGATGAAACACTTGCTGTCCGGTGGAGGCGGCCTCATGGTTCCCACGAGCCTCAGAGAGGAGCTCTGCCTGTGGTTTCCAGTGGCCGGTCTCAGAAACACACACTCGGTACTTTCTCCTGAGGTGCCCCAGG